TAAGTAAATTTAATTCGAGTTCGAGTTGAGAGAGAAAGTATGGGGGGAGGGTAACCGACGGAGCGAAAAGACCGAAAAAGACCGTTTATCAAAAGAATTCAGGTTTGGGGCGGGGGGGGGTACGGTAAGAGAGAATCTAACGAATATTATTCTCCCAAAAGGGATTTTAAATCAAAGGGGTAGTAAACCTGAGATAAGAGTTAATCTTTTAAAAAAAAAAACTCCCCTTTACCTCCCAGTTTAAATCTGTATTCAAAACCGAGAAATTACACACAACTAGTATAACAATTCACGGATGGCCGAATCATACACCCTTATAAAAAAAAATCACCCCCTCAACGGTCACCCTTTTCTCTCTCTTTCTCTCTCATATAAATATAATTCCTTATTCTACGGTAGATTCCTCTCCACTTAAGTCGTTTATTAGATTTACGTGGATGCGCTTCGTCGATAATTTATAATTATTTAGAACCGAATTCAATGATTTTTATACACCGTGTAAATTTTATTATTATTATTATTATTATTATTATTATTATTAAATCGCCACCGTTAAAAATTTTTGGATTTAAAATTTCGTTTGCTGCATTGTTTTGTGATGCCGAAAATTTTTTTTTTTTTACCTGAAATAAAACGCACAAACACACACACATACAAGTATAATAAACAAACATAACAACAACCACAACAACAACAACAAATTCACTTTTATATAAACAAAATGAAACTTAATATTATTTTAAAGATATTTTTCGGAGGGGATAGAGGGGGATGGAGAGTGAAAAAAAAAAACCGGAAGTGAATGAAAAACTGAATTACTCATTTATTTATTTCAGGGCGAGGGGGGGGGGCGGGTTAAAATTTCTTACCAGCGATTCGTCCATATCTTTGAAACATTCTTTCAACATCCGTTTTCGAACATTGAAATGTGTTTAAATTTCCTACAAAAACTCTCGAATTTACTGCTTGTGGATCTTGAGAATTTGTTTGATTTCCAACTTTGCTTAATTTCATCGCAGTCGCACTCTGAAAACAAAAGAAAATAAAAATTCTAATTAATAAAAATTAATCGAATATATATATAAGAAAACTCAACGACGGTTCGCCCTCAATTAACCCTTGTTTGATTTAAACCTATAAAAAAAAAAATTAATCTGAAATTTACGGCCGTCTACGAATTGCCCCCCTCTCCCTCCCTTTGTTTTTCTCGTTCCACTTGTAATAAAACTGACTAATATTCCCAGGCTATTAAATAATAATAATTAAATCAATAATCGTAGTATCTTTTATATAAATTAGTGTTTGTGTTAAACAAAACCGTTAAAATTAGTCATCAATCACGTGACACTTATTACAAGTTATTTGTCTTAAAGGTTAAAATTTAACACAACACGTTTACAATGTTCTAAAATAATTTTTTACGTTCGTGGCATTAGAATTATGCCGATGAGGATAGACGCCATTTTGAATTCGTACGCGTCGTTTATGTTTACGTTTGATTTTTTGTTAACAATACAAG